ATATATATATATATATATACTACTACTACTAGTATATATATATATATATATATATATATATATATATATATATATATATATATATATATATATATATATATATATACATGCTGTAAGATGGTTTGCGTCAAACAAAACTTTGACCTTTCAACCAATCACAGGCCACGAGACTAGTCTTTTGGTGAGTGGTCCGGGAAATAGACCCTGACGGAGATAGACTGATAAGTGATCACCAGGTCTGACTGTAGTGTATTTCTTTCCGTATTTATTAGTATTTTTTTTAAATATGTAAATATATGACTATATATTTTATACATGATCCTCCGCCTCGCTGGATTCTGGAAGTCTGTCCCGAGGGATTTCGAAGTCTTTCGATGGCAGAAGCGTTTTGCACTGAAAACTCGGTGAGACTTCTAAAGGGCCATGTATCACAGCCTCCTAAATTAGAAGTTTTAGCCTTAGGAGGCTATGTATGAGTATATTTAAAACAATATATAATAGTGTTTACATATAGATCTATATAGATCCCTCACATGTCGTCATAAATAGCTGGTTCATGCATCAGGTCCTACTGAAAGTCAATTACAGTGGCGAATCGAGTCACATTTGAATGCAACACGCAACAAACTGATTATAATAAAGTTTTGATAAACATTTATCTTTGGTTTTATGACAACAAAATTGTCAATTATTTATATTCGTGGGTATTCTGTTGTAATTTTTAATGATGAATTGCTGTCTGAATGACAAAAATATGCGACTTGTCAGTAAAAAAATATATACGGTGTTTATAGCCGAGATCGCTGTGCTAATTGTGCACGGCAATTTGGACAGCTGTGCGTCACGTCCTTGCAGTTATCCACTACCAATGGTATGCAGCAGCACCCGAGCCAACAACCAAGGATACAGCAACAGAAAGCACTGCCCCAGGCAAAAGCTCCATTCTCGAATTCGGTATCCGATGTAACATTGGTCTGACAACTAGGACAGAACAGTAACTGCGACTTGAAGCCGGGCTTCGTGCTTAGCACGACAGAATTGGGCTGCTGACTAATGTATTGGGGTCCCTGGGGGTAGCCGGGCGGTGGTGTTGTAGCAGCATTTTGATAGTTGTATTGTGGCTTCTTCTCGTTGCTGAAACAGGGAGATGGGTTGCTGGATTGGGACATTTTTGATAGCTATGAATCGGAGTGAGGCCGTATACTTAATGTATTTGTCCTACTTTATTTTATGCTCATCGACATCGGTAATCAACGCATTATATACGGTTGTTGTCAATTGTCGACTTGCCAGCTGAGACTGTGAGTGCCAAACGTCAGAGTAGACTCTCTCTAGTTATTAAAATCTGTCAAGTGTCAACGTAGTTGAACTTGCCAAGAAAACCCTACATATTACGAAACTTCAAACCCTACGTAAACACTTTTTGGTTTTTACTTTGGTTTCGATCTAACGCTTTTCCATTAGCCAGCTAAAATCACTCAACACACGAAGATCAAGATCTTTGAGTTCGAGCAATGAGTAGTCAGCGTATGTGACGAATATTGCTCAGTTGCTCACAAAAACAAACCATACATAACGTCAAACGAAACAACTGAAATATTTTATTTTGTTTTAAAAAGCCAATCATATTTGATATTTTTTGTTTTTAAAAACAATTATATATGGGTTTTTTTTAAAGCAGTATTTTTTTTCTCAAATATTTCAATGCAAAACAAATATATTTTCATATTTTGTTTTTTGTAAAATAAATAACAACTGACATGGCCCTCTGGATTTGAGTCTAAATTTACCGTTACATGGCCTTCTGGATTTAAGTCTGCGCTAAATTTACGATTTCCGTCGTCGGATTTCTGCTCGAGACCCAAATCCAGAGGGCCAAGCAACTGAACAAACAATAAACATCAGTTTGTATTTGTATTTATGGCCTCATTTCTGATTCACATTGGCCTGGGCGTCTGGAAGACTGGGAGTCTGGAAGTCTGGGACCCTGGGGCTCTGGGGCTCTGGTCATCTGGTGACAGACTGGTCCCTGTGCGCAAGATGCCGACACTTCGATCTGTTGATATAATAGCTGATTCGATAAATAGTGAGATTTTTTTATGAATTTGTGAAGGTGAAATCGTATTAAAAATGTCTCAATCCAGCATACGATATGTAGCTTGCGTAGCTTTGCTAAATATACGAATGCATTGCAAAATCGAATTGTTGTGCGGATACCGTGGAGTCATATTCCACAGGCACTGCAATAAATAGAACGTCCAGTGTGTTATAGAATTGGAAAGGGATTGTATTATATCCTGTCGATTTCTCACCGACAAAGTATTTTTATGTTGTCACGGCTAAGGACGCACGGCGACGTACTACAGTACAATAATAGTGCGCATTTGTTGCTAGAGACTGGATATTGGCTTGTCACATCTTTTAACACAAAAATATATTAGTCAAGAGATATATAAACTTGTTTGTTAACATACTACTTTAATGAACCACTTGATAGCAAATTTTACTCAGCCAATGAGTTGTAATGAGACTCCTGCAAACAAAGTAATGGTGCATATTTGCCGGGAGAAACTGTTGATTGGTACCACAATCTCATGCGTTTATATGTATAAGGGAAGACATAGAAATATAACTATTTAAATAAGCTACGACAAACATAGAAATTTATTGAATCGTTGATTAGCTATTTGAATCTTTGCCAACGATATATGCGAAGTGCTTTATGTTTCACGTCGAAGGTATGATATAAATATCCATGACTTTTTGTGGTTATGGACATATGCATACTTGCACCTGAGGATAGACCCTCACAGCATCTTAAGACCTATAGCAGTGGTGGAATTTAGTATCTTCATCTGTGTATACACATGTCAGTTAAATTCGAGACCTCTGGGCCAAAGGCGTGCGGCACTTGGGACAGCTATGCGTCACATCTTTGCAATTATCGACTACTAGTGGAATGCAACAGCACCCGAGCCAACAGCCCAAGATACAGCAACAGAAAGCACTGCCCCAGGCAAAAGCCCCATTCTCGAATTCGGTTGCTGAGATTACATTAACCTGGCAGCTGGGACAGAACAGCATCGTTGATTTGAAGCCAGGCTTCGTATTTAGTATCACAGGATTTGGCTGCTGGCTTACATACTGTGGTCCCTGAACTAGGTATCCCGGTGGAGGTGCTGTACCAGCATGTTGATAGCTAATTTGAGGGATTTTCTCCTCAGTGTAGGCAAATCCTGGCTGGTTATAGTTATTTTGATTCATATTTATTGCTTGGTTGTGTTCGACTTGTGGTCTGTTGTTTTTTAATGATGTGTATTGCAATAGCAGCCATTCTTTTAAAGTAGTGCCATGATACGTAAACTATAAAATATTTTTGGCAACCATCATCGTGTGCTAAGGGGGCTATAACAAGCATAAAACATACCTCAGGGGTAGATCATGTATGCAAAAGTGTTCACTGTTCAGGTCTAGAAATACCTCGAAATCGTAAAAAAAAAAATGAGCAGCGATAATTTATACATGCATCTACATAAAGTTATAAACCTTCAGCCTTTCAGGCTGCAGGCCTTCATCGGGGGTTTTTCTAAAAGAACATTTTTTTTCTATTTGTTTAGAAAATTAACAACCGTATTTTCTTTTTTTTTTAAATAAACAGTTTCATAACAGTTAACACTGACTAAATATTTGTTTACTGGTACAGAAGTAAGAAGTGAGAAGTCAGAACACGACTTTTTTTTTTTTAAACAACTAACAAACAGTGACATACATTACAAACAGTCAGTCATCACTGTCAGTCATGCCTCATGACTCATGACTCATCTTTTGATTCTTTCCATCAATGACAATGTCTGACAGTGACTGCACTCAGTCAGAGTGTCGGACAGTGACACTCATCACCGACTTTTTTTGTCAATACATAGCAGTGATTACTTATCACTCATTAACCATAGCTCTTCCCTCCAAGTCCAAGAAACGATGACTCCAAGGACTCCAAAACACGCACAAGATCTTGGAATTTAAATTTTTTTGAACACCATGTCCCTTGCCCCTTGGCCTTGGCCTGGCAGCATACATGTGCACACATATTACCCTCTTTTTCTAAAACAAAGTTTTGGCAGAGCTATTGTGATCTATGATTTATAAAAATCAATGAGTCAGATATGACTCATATGAGATATATTCAACAACAAAAATGTTGACGTCATAGATTATCAAAAGCACAGTATGACAGTATGACATAATGGCGGTATGAGGCTATGTCGCTATGAGCCCTGAGTGAGAGTCCCTGACGACTGACGAGAAATGGTCAGTGGATCCTCGACGTCCCGATGAGTGATGGTAGTGGTGAGTGATGGACCACATGCCCACAGTAGCTGATATAAAGTTCAAACTGAAAGCTGCAGGTCATGTGCGGGGGGGAATGGGGGGGATGTTGACAGATATATACATCCCTAGATCGTCATAGCAGCATAACCACAAAATGGCGGTGGCACTAACAGACACATTGTCACGACTCACACACTGACAGTCTAGCTCAGTGCCAGAGTCCAGGCACTCCAGATGTCCAGGGAGATTCACAGAGTCCGACGGACCGCAGGTCTGCAAAATATACATAGTTATTATATCATTTGAATACATCAGTGGAATGTGGAGTGTTATCAACCGTAGAGTGTGGAAGTGTAAGGACATGGAACTAAGAATTGATGAATCATTATTTTGACATTAGATAAGGAGCGGGAAACATAATAATAATGTTCACCTTAATTGATGAGTAATTCTGGTCTATCAGCAACGTTAGACTCTCCAATGTAGAGAATGTATAGATATTGGAAAACTATTTATATAAATATACTCTATTTTCAGAAACACCTTTAAACGGATATATCGCTGAGTAGTTCACTATAGAAGGTAGTCCGTCATACAAAATACTCTTTCTGAAGCTCGAAACGTTCTAATGATGTAATTGTGGGGTGTGCGTCCTACCTCTCCCGTGGCTTATTATGTGGGTGTAAGCCGTAGACGCCTAATGAAGTCACGCCCATCGGAATACTTGACATGTGCACAAAAGATACTGCTATTCCCTAAACATAACGTAAACCAAGTTACACAACACCGCTTCTACACTCGCAGTGTCAGTCAGCACAAGTGAATAGGTAATGATTTATTCCACCCAGATTGGACCATCTAGCTTGGTTGCGGATGCATTTTAACGCGCAAAATACCCTTCCAGGGCAGATACCAGTCAGTTTCTAGTCTAAAGTTTGAGATCTACTATCAATTATTAAAAGGTTGAATTTGTTCGACTATTCCTTCTATAGCTGTGTAGTTCATCGGCTCTCCGCATAGACTTTTCAACTGAAATGCACCGCAATCCAATACTAGCTCAACATGAGCTTGATGCGAAGAATTGCATTAAAAAATCGTAAACAGGATGTAAATACAACCAATTCCGGTCTTTGCTAGCGTACTGTCAGCCTGTCAAGTACTATTGCCATTTCACTATTTATTTTCTTCATTAAAAAAGACTTCAAAATTGTTCCTTGCTACGTACGTAGACCCGTTCCACACGCTTTGCCACCGTGATGGCTGTTGATAATGGTTGTGTATCTATTCCATTTTGAGAAGATGTTTGTGACAATTGCAGTAGTCTAGGACTCTAGGACGACTACATACAATAAAATACATGTTTTTTAATTATCAGTTTACAGTTTTGGACTTTTGGTTGTTTGTATGATTAAATATTGTGGACTTCTCCAGTCTCAACTCTCAACTCTCAAGTGATGTTCAGCATGTTCGCTTGTGTCCGTGTTCACTGTTGAGTGTTCAGTGCTTTCACGCTGTTCAATAGGCTAAAATTAGTAAAATAGTATATTTTCATTGGCTTGGCATTAACAAAAGAATGTCCTGCTGTGTGTTGCGCTCCAAACATTTATGATGCTTGCTTTTTTAAAATGAGCACAAAGGTATTTTAAATTCTTCTCGAATTGGCCTGTCATATTTCCGTATCGATGTAGATTTTAAGCACATGATATAAATAATTATACCGGAATTTTGAATTTTAACTATTTGCTTTTGTTTTTTAAAAATAACAAAAAAATAACAAACAAACAACAACTGCATGCTACAAGCAATATTCCTCGTGTATGTGTGAGCGTCATTTTTTAACAAATTAAATATTTAACATGATAATGTCAATCATAAGGTTAGTTGTTGTTGTTTTAAATAAGAAGGTACTGCAATCGTGATGAGCTATTCACTTGTACCATTGTACAATCGTTACGCGCTAGCGAATATTTCTTAATATGCTCGCCATCAGTACCCTATTCCTTCTAGTTGTTGGCATATTCCTTACAGCTTCAGCTGCCACTTATCCAAGTGTTCCAAGCGCTGAATGCCGTGCTTTCATTTCAGACACTTGCGGATCGTGTAAAACGTCGGGCACAGAAACTAATAGAAGAACATGTGTTCTAGAATGTTTAGAAACCAAAGACACTTCAAACCTCTGTGCTGATCGCATGTCCGCAATGGAAAAGAAAGCAGCATGCTACGATTTTGTCAATCAGAGTTGCAGCGAATGCAAACCTTTACCGAAGCAAGAAATGCGTGATTGCGTATCTAGTTGCTTGGCCGCCAAAGATCCATATAATGTATGTGAAACGATGCGCAGGCAGAATCCAACTCAAACTGTACAATATCAAACCATAGGAGGAATGACTGCGGAGCAGCAGTTACGACAGCTTCAGTTGCAACAGGAAGCCCTACGAAAGCAGATAGAGGCCGAGGCCGAGGCTGACAGACTCAGGCAGCAACAGAATAATCAGGTATATACAACACGGCCCGTATATTCTACTGTACCTGTGTATACAACTCGACCTGTATATACTAATCAAGCTGCGTACTCGACCCGGCCCGTCTATTCAACGCGACCCGTGTATACAGGACAGGTCGCGTACTCGTATCAGCCTCAATACACCACTCGGCCAGTGTACTCAACTCGACCCGTGTACTCACCTCAGCCTGTGTACACGAATCAGGTCGCGTACACGTATCGGCCAGTATATTCCACCCGACCAGTATATTCAATACAACCTGTGTACACTACTCGACCAGTATATTCAACTCTACCTAAGTATACTACCCGGCCCCTGAGCAATCAGGTTTACACTGCACGGCCACTGTATTCTACAAGGCCCGCATATTCACCCCAAGCGGTGAGCAGGGTGTCTGAGCCGACACTGGAGAATGATTACATTGTGCCAACGTACTCTAGACAGTCTATCCCAATGACGCAGCAGCAGCTAGCATACGTTCCGATGAATTCAAATTTTGAAGTTCCGCAAGGTTACGAGCCAGTAGTTCGCCCGAATACTGTACGACGATCCCATGTTATTGAGAAAAAGAGCAAATTGAGAGCTCGAAGGAAAACCGGAAAGTCCATTATTGATAATAATGAAATCAAACCAAGACAGGTCGCCTAACATGCCTAACAGCTGAGCTGAGATTTGGCTAGATCGTCAGCTACACACGCCATGTAGAATCCTTAGAAACATGGCTACTGCCGATTAATGGCCACTCTGTCACTTACGAGTGGTCCATACTCACGGAAACCTCTGCCGAGCAATGCCGTTAAGATGTCATGCAACACTTCCAATTGTCGTGATAGCTGTGTGACTGTGTAGTCATGACGACCCTTGACGCTTTGAGTACAGCAATCAATACACCTCTAATGAACCCTCACAATCACTACCATCGAGTACAATAATGTAAATAAATAAAGTGGTTTAGAAATTAAAATACATCGTTGAATAAATGAGCCTTTAACAAACGAGATCTGAGACATATTATTAGCTGTTATTTTTCATATCGCCAGAAACCCCACAACTTGATTTTTCAATATTCTCTGCAGGACTATCGATTATTCTCTGCAGGACTATCGATTATTCTCTGCAGGACTATCGATTATATTATGCAAGACTATCGATTATTCTCTGAAGTACTATCGATTATACTATGCAAAACTATCGATTATTCTCTGCAGGACTATCGATATTCTGTAGGACTATCCCGAGGCTATAACTGACAATCTACAAGCCTGTAATTCTAAAACAAATAGTAGCCTGTTCCCAAAAATTAAAAAAGAGGCAGGCTGTTTAGTCGAAAAAAATTATTTTAAATAACCCCGCCCCCATAAATACACAAACATAAGTGTATAAACATAATATACATAATATATATATATATATATATGTGTGTGTGTGTGTGTGTGTGTGTGTATTTATATGTATATATAATTACATATACATATAAACATACATAAATACATGCACAATGCATACACTCTTACACACATGTATATATATATATATATACAACATTGTACATATATTTATATATACATATGTATTTATATATATATTATATATATAAAAAATATATCTATATCTATATCTATATCTATATATACATCTATATATATATCTCTATAATAAATATATATCTATTTACACAATAGATATATAGATGTATAGATATATAGTTATATAGATATATATATATATATTATATGTACAGACAAATATGCGGACATATATATATATATATATATATATATATATACGTATGTTTTGCTATAAACAATATATATATATATAACAATATATATCAATATATAATTTTTTATACATACCACAATATGTATATATATCCAACAATAATATAT